ACGGCGAAGCTGGAGGATCCGCTCTGACTTCCCGGGATAGGCCGCGACCCACGGGCGAGGGGAGGCCGCTGCCACTCCCCTCGCCCTCTCCCCCACCTCCCCGGCCCCAAGCCACCCGGGAATCAAAAAAACGGGTCTAGTTACCAGAGAACAGAAACTTTACCGAACCGATGACACTATCCCCGACTCCCGCTTGCTGCCACGTCTTTCTTCTTGCTTGGCCGCTGCCGTCCGTCGTCCTCCCAGCAGCAGCACCAGCAGAAAACCAAGACTGCCAGCGTCAAAGATGGCGCCCGGCGACAGGCTCCGCTCTAAGGCCCGGCCGGTAAAAGTGCCAGCACGACGCAGGGCGCGAGGGTTCTGGAAGATGTAGTTCTTCTATGAGGCGATGCCTAAGATGGCTGCTCCGGGTCACAGGGTCACGTGACGGGGGAGGCGCTGGGTCGGGGAGTCCCTTCCCTTCAAAGGAATGCCTTGAAGCTGGCTTTCATAACGTTTTGTTTTTGTTTTTAAATCAAATGAGGTAATAAGCGGGAGGGCCGCTGGAACTGAGACTACCATTCAGTAAACGCTCAATTTATTCTTACCAAAGTGTTTTCTTAATGAGTAAATCTCCCAAACCATGTATATATTTAATTTAGAAATAAACTGTACTTTTCCTAAGCATGCAATGTAGAAGGATTTGTTAGTTTATTTTTACTTGAAGAAGTGAGATTGAGCTTTGGGAACGTTTCTTTGATTTCTTAAAGCAAATGTGTATATTGGAAAAGTAATTCAAGCTCATGACAAATTTCAGGAGGGTTAGTTGGAGGTCGCAATCAGCAGTCTCATCCCCGCTTCATTATTAACATTGTCCCTTATTTTCCCTTTTGAATGCTTTTACCTTTTCCCCCTGGTTATAAAAGTAATACACGTGGCGGGGCGCGGTCGCTCACGACAGTAATTCCAGCACTTTGGGAGGCCTAGGCAGGGGGATCACAAAGTCAAGAGATCAAAATCATCCTGGCCAACGTGGTGAAACCTCGTCTCTACCAAAAATACAAAAATTAGCTAGGCGTGGTGGCACACGCCTGTAGTCCCAGCTACTCGGGAGGCTGAGGCAGGAGAATCGCTTGAACCCGGGAGGCAGAGGTTGCAGTGAGCTGAAATC